GGGTGGGCGATGCAGGCGGAGGGCCTTGGAGAGAGGGGCCGGGGAGGTGGGCGATGCAGGCGGAGGGCCTTGGAGAGAGGGGCCGGGGAGGTGGGCGATGCAGGCGGAGGGCCTTGGAGAGAGGGGCCGGGGAGGTGGGCGATGCAGGCCGGGGGCCTTGGAGAGAGGGGCCTGGGAGGTGGGTCTGCAGGCAGAGGGCCTTGGAGAAAGGGTCCGGGGAGGTGGGCACTGCAGGTGGAGGTGAAGCAAACCCCACTTTCCAAAGATACTTGGAAATTTCCCTTCAATGACACACAGATTGAGGTCAGTTTTGTTAAGAACTGTGACAGGTAGATCAGACTCTGCTAGCCTTGGGACTGAGTAAGGCAAGGACCTGTCCTCCTGGGGGTTTGTCCAAGTCTCTCAGAGCCTGGTGAAACTTTGTTTTACTTTCATGAGTTTTGTCAGTTAACAAGTACTGGGAAATTTTTGGTTGATAGAAGCAAGGTGACTGTCATTAATGCTTGAGTTTTCCTTCTGAAAAAAACTTCAGGAGCGAAAAGATACCTCTTGACTGAAGGGGTACTGCCTGCTGGTTAGTGCGCTCGGGCTGCTATAACCAGGCACCCCAGGCCGGGAGGCTTAATAAGCAGAAGTTCGCTGGCTCACAGTCTGAGGGTGGGAATCGGAAACCCAGCTGTCAGCAGGGTTGGTCTCTCTGCGGCCTCTCTCCTTGACTTACGGATGGCCGTTTTCTCTCTGTGTCGTCGTGTGTTCTTCCTGTGTGTGTGTCTGTCCTGACGCCTTCTTATAAGGACACCAGCCATAATGGATTCGGTCCCGCCTATATGACCTCACTTTTACCTTAATTACCTCATTAAAGAGCAGTTACATCTTGAGGTATTGGGTGTTCGGACCTTAACGTATAGACTGCGGGAGGATACAGTTCAGCGCAGAACACCTGCTTCCTGGCTGTGTAGCCTTGTCAGGCTGCCTCCCCTTCTTGGGCCATAGTGTCCTGTCTCTAAAAATGCGTAGGTTGAAACCGGGGCTCGACTGAGCTCGTGACCTGCTGGTCTGTGTGATGCCAGCCTGCTTGTTTTCTTTTCCTCACCAGGCCCTGGAGGCTGGTGTGGGCCTCCCTTCAGCACCAAGGGTTCCACACTGCTGGGTGTTGCTACAGGGGTCGCACTGGCGCTGAGCACCTGTGGCTGACCCGGCATCTGAGGGACCCGTTTGTGAAGGCTGCGAAGGTGGAGAGTTACCGGTGTCGGAGCGCCTTCAAACTCCTGGAGATGAACCAGAGGCACCAGATCCTGCGGCCGGGTCACCGAGTGCTGGACTGTGGGGCAGCCCCTGGCGCGTGGAGCCAGGTGGCCGTGCAGAGGGTCAACGCTGCAGGCACAGGTGTGGCCCCCACGCGTGTAGATGCCAGGCGGCTGCCCTCTGCCGCGGGGCACGGAGCAGTGGGGCCAGCTGTGGGGGTGCATATCTCGGAGCGGTCTTTTAGCAGGAATGATACAAATAGGACACTGACAGTTCCAAGATGAAAGACAAGGTAGAAGGGCGTGATGACTGTGAAAGCCACCCCGAGTCACACCCCAGTCCCGTGCACACTGCTGCGAGGGTGTGCGCCCTTCCCGAACCTGGTTTTGCGAACGTGGCTACGTGTACTTACATACCTTCTTAGTCTTTTGTGAAGGTGATGCTACGCCATGCCCTTGCTGCTGATGGGGAGCTTTTGTTTTTGTTTTTGTTTTTGTTTTTGCTTACTGATGAATCACATCTTTCCATGACAGAACAACCGAGTCAGCCCCAGCCGTTTCCAGGCCCTGGTCCTTGAAGCCCTGGGTTTTCTGGGAGTGCCACTGGGGCTGCGCAAGAGCCCTTGTCGCTGGGGCTCTGGACTCTCCACCTTGGCTCGACCCCAGGGACCTGGCTTTATCTGTTGTCTATTTTGGGGTTTAGCCTAAGATCTTCTATATAAGTTTCCACTGATGAATAGATCAACCAGCCACCACCACTCCAATCCTTTAAACAGCTGTATAGGATAACAGATGACGGTGGTTCTGTTGGAGTTTAGCTGGTGTCTTCATCTTGGGCATCAGGGTTGCTTTTGGGTATTTTGCCTTTGGGTAGCATGTGCAGTGCTGTGGGAACTGTCCTTACCACTCGTATTTCCTGCCGTAAAGTCTGGGGGCACCACATGCACTGACTGGCATTATGACATGTGATGGTGCACGAAGATCCCTCCCAAACACTATAGAGTGGGGATGTTTGTGCCCATTTTTCTGATGAGGAAATTGAGGTTTAGAGGTGTTTAGTGACCTGCTGAAAGTACAGACCTGGGCATGCTGCTCCTGGGTACATTCATCAACCTCATTACTGTGGGTGGGATAACGCAGGGGGCTCTAGAACAGTTAAAATACTTTTAAGCTCACTAAATATTTATTGACTAAGTGAATCCGTGTCAGAAACTTCAGTTCCTTAGCGGGGAGGGTATAGCTCAGTGGTAGAGCGCCTGCTTAGCATGCGTGATGTCCTGGGTTCAATCCCTGGTACCTCCATTGAGAAATAAATAAATACACCTAATTACCTCCCTCCAGAAATAAAAATTAAAAAATTTTTTAAATTAAAAAAACTCCCCGACAACTTGGTTCCTTTTCCCACCACTGAGCCTGTCTGCAGACCTGCTCACAGCTGATTTTAGTGGCTCTTCTCCCCTAACTGCTCTTCAGGAGAAGCCGGGAAGTGGCCAAGTGCCACTTGCAGGAAGAGGCGGCAGGAGCAGAGTGGGTGGGTGAGGGGACTTGGATTCTTTTACTCCTACAAGTTGACAAAATGCAGCCAAAGCCATTTGCCTTGAGTGGGCACTTCCTGGGGTTGTGGTACATGAGCGTTAAAGGCAGGGAGCGCAAGTGCAGAGGATGGGACGTGAGACGTACCACTTTCCAGGGATGAAGACTGAGAGTTTTTAACCTTTAGGAAATGAGGTGCTCTGCAAAATACCTGGACCTCCAGCCTTTACATAGAGATGGGACACCCGACCCTCGCCTGTGGAACAGCCTTTTTACTAAGCAGATGGAGCTACAAGTCTGTGACTGTGCCCTTCACGTATCTGTACTGCAGAGCAGAGGCCCTCCTCCGTGTGGGCAGTGGTGCGGGGAGGGGACTCCAGGGCTTGTGGAGAGGGGAGCTTTGAACAGGAGTGCTGCGTGAAGGGCGGGGAGGTGTGGACTGGGGTCAGCAGCGTGCAGACAGGAAGTCCGGTTTCAGAGAGGGTGGAACAGTGACACCTTTTTATTTCACAACTGGCCCCACTCAAATATGCAGGGTATCAGTTTTTCACCTTATTTTGCATCTGTCCATTTTCCCCATCTCGGCTTGTTTCTAATGGTTTTCTACATTGAAAGAAATTGGATTAAGCTGCAGAGTGGGGGTGGATTTAATCCAGAGGCACTTTATATACTAGAGTGTCATTTTCTGTTTTAGTTTATGGAAAAGACCATTCAGAAATAACCCTTTCACGGAGAGCAAGCGTTGCGGAGTGAAAGGAAGCCAGAGACAGGTGCAGCCCCGGGTCTGCCTGAGGCTCTGGGACAATCACTTCTCTCTGGGCCTCACTCGGTTTGCTCAGATGTAGAGGGAAGGACCACCACTCCCCGCCATGTGTTTTTATAGGATGTACAGAAAGTGGGGAAAGGCCTGTGTCCATAATGAGATCTTTCCCTCCGTCCTGACTTTTTATATCTATTTTATTCGTTTGTTGCATGTATTTTTTTGTGGGATGATTCCGGGTGTAAATAAGTGAACGCATTCACCATTTCTGCCTTAGATCCCAGAGCTCCTGTTGGCTTCGTGCTCGGGGTGGATCTTCTCCACATATTCCCTCTGGAAGGAGCAAACTTCTTGTGCCCTGCTGATGTGACTGACCCGAGAACTGTCCAGAGAATCCGAGAACTGCTTCCCGGTGGGAGAGCAGATGTGATTCTGAGTGACATGGCACCCAATGCCACAGGGATCCGGGCCCTTGACCATGACAAGCTCATCAGCCTGTGCCTGTCCCTTCTGGACATGGCTCCGGACATCCTGCTTCCCGGGGGCACTTTCCTTTGTAAAACCTGGGCTGGAAGCCAGAGCCGTCGTTTACAGAAGAGACTGACGGAGGAGTTCCAGAACACAAGGACGGTAAAGCCTGAAGCCAGCAGGAAAGAATCATCAGAGGTGTACCTCTTGGCTACGCAGTACCGAAGAGGGAAGGGGGCCGGTCTGTGAAGGACTCAGTGTCTTCTGCCATTCTGATGCTTTTTCACTGCAAATGTAGCAAGAGCTCTGTCCTGAAGTGCAGCTGGGGACCCTCACGTGATGTGGGGTGCAGCAGGCAGGACAAGTAGGGGTCCTTTTTTAAAACCAAAAAGATATGACAAAACTATTCAGTGGCCACAATATGTGATTTAAAAACATTCTCCATAACATGATTTGTGAAGAAATTATGGAGAGAAAGAGACAGGCAAAGATAAAAGGATGAAAAGACAGACTGAGGGAAGGCTAAAAACATACTCCGAGGTAGAGGCACACACAGACACCTTGTGTGACTTTCCCCTCTTACCCACTCTTGATTTGTTGCAGAGAAACGGGCTTCCACCATTGCTCCAGAAACAGCCCACAGGTTGCCAGGTATTTTGACTGTAGTATAATGCAGAAAAATCTGAAATTTCCACCAGGGGATTTATTGCCATCCCTTTGGCGAATGATCTGGAAGTACATCCGTTCTTCAAGCGGTGAGAGTTCCCAGAGCAATTAGGGGAGACTTTTGGTATGAATTATGCATGGGATAATTGTTTTTCCTGCTGGAAATACTGCTGAAATACTCCAGGCTCCCAAGACTTGACTTAAAGGTAATTGCCAGTGTGAGCAGCGATGTGTTGTGTTCTTTTATTTCCTTTTACTCTTCCAGGAACTCGCAGCAGCTTTATAAAACAATATAGATTATATTACTTTAAGGAATATTCGTGCCTTTTAACTTTCTTGAAAAAAAAAAAAGTTAACTGGTTTCACAACCGTTGTCTTGGAGGTGTGCTCATCCCTCAAGCGCAGTTTATTAGAGACTGTAGCGGTGATGAAATCCCAAGGACCCCGGGGGAAGGAAGAGATACTCAGGAACCTCCATCAGGGTCCTAGGACCTAGCCCAGATCCCTGAAGTAGGTCAGACTTTAAAATTTTTCGTTTTATTTTCGCCTGCAGTCAGCTAGTCCAGAGAGACGCGTCCTGCTTCCGCCGCCGCAGCCTCCCCCTCCTCTGCCGTCTGTTCCGGGCAGACGGACTGGTGTCCTCTCTGGAAGAGGGGACTTCGGTGCAGTCCCTGGAGCGCTTAGCCCGAGGCGGCGGTGCGGGGAGGAGCGGGGACCAGCGGGGACCAGCGGGACCCGGCACTGCAAGGGGGCGCTGCGGGCGGACTTGGCGGCTGGCCGTCGCGCCACGGAGAACGGGGACCCAGACGGAGGCCCCGACAGCTCACAGGGCACTGGGAGGATAGGTTAGCAGCACAGTACTTTGCTGTTTTAAAAGAGGGCCCGGAGAAAAGCATTCATTCAAGCAAATACTGGTAGTGGCAAGGGCGGGAATAGGCGTGCAAGAGAAGTTTGGCCCTATGAGGCCACAGTTGGGCGGTGCTACTCCACACAATACGGTGCGAGGCAGGCGCCCTGGGGGAAACCCGACCCGGGGGCCGCGGGCACCCGATAGCCCCGCGGGCCGGCCTTTGGTTACGGTGGTTACGGTCCTCTCCGAACGGGTGGCTCGAGGGTGGCTGGCTCCAGGACAGACGCGGAGCCCCCAGGACGGCTGGCGCGCAGACTCGGAGGCTTACGATCGGCACCGCCCAAATCTCGCGAGAGCGCAACCTGACGTCTCGCGATACGCGGG